AAGAGCGCAACCAGCACAGCCAACCAACCAACCGGCTGGTTGCATTAACTGCTGCAGACATTTGAAAGACTGATGAATTCGCCGCAGTCAGATGGATGGATGGCTAGCGCGAGCAGTTGTGAGGCAATGACTTGATTAATCATTGATTCGCGTGATTAGGCTGACGAAGAAATAACCGCAAGGCATTATCAAAACTGAATTTACCGCTCAACAACATAATCATTTCTACAAATGTGTTATCATTATCATTACGATAACAAATCAGCAGTAAATTAGCTTAGCAACAAATTCAGGACCCTATATTCGTGCTAAAATATCTCTGCTGATGTCAGTCCTGACGACGATTGGCGTTTAAACGAGAAACCAACGGAATGAATTTCTCGTGTTTTGCATTGCAACCTCGAACTCACGCATATTATGGACGCCACTGGCTTCACTTTTAACGCTTTCATCTTCTGCTTCCTATCTCACCAACGGAATCCGAATCTAACATGCGCTGGAATTCCCATCAAAAATGAGTGAGACTCCGCTCAGTGACACCGCAAACAGGAGCACTGAAGTGATGGCGAGTACTGCTGACACTTTGTGGACAGATGAAAGCATGCGTAAAACACTAATTACACTTAATGCTTTGGCTTGAATGGTTAATTTTTTTCAATGAATCAGAGTCAGAGCCTCTGAAGAAGAAGAAGTAACACCGAATGCGTGCATTCAAGGAGAGCAAATGCAAATAAGTTGTCCAAAGCCGTTCACAGACGACGCAGATGTGTGCAGCTTATCAAAATCCGATATCATAAGATGGGCTTAGCGCAGACGCTTAGCAGATATTGTGAAAAGTCGTTGATAGGAATATGAATTTTTTTCGAATGCTTTCAACTAGGCTGCATTTTACCAACCCTGATATTCTCACTGAGCCATTAACATAATTATTTCCATTAATCTCTTAATCACCGTTATCAAAACTTCTTGTAAACATCCTTGACATTCTTGTAATCATTAATAGTCTCATAGTGGTACCATTATCATTAATTTTGTTCATATGGAGGCATTAGGTATTCTTATGGAAAATTATAGTCGTTCTCGTTATCAGTTTGACAATTCATCAAGTGATTAAGTGATAGTTTAGATGCGGTGAAAATTATTGATGCATTACGTGTTATCAAGTGAACGACTTTTAGAGATTAGGAAATTCATTGAGAAATATTCTCAAAACGCTTACAGTAAGATATAGATAACGCGAAAAAATTTATGCCATCGCGCGCAACATTTTCTCACATCAGAAGGCAATGGTTTACTAGAATGCATTAGGAGTTTAAAAAACAATTCAATCAAGAGCGAAAAAAAGCAAAAAGGAAAACAGGTAGTTCAGAGACTCATGATCGCCGAAATAACTAGCATCACAAAATGACGTGCCTTAGAGCAAATGTCCAAAACAAGAGGTTTTATGTGAACTGGAAGGTAAAAAACGAAAGAAATTGATGATTGCCTAAGCCGATGACGTGGAAGACTGCATGAAAGGATGAATGAGAAAATGAATGAACAGTCAGCAAATTGGGCATATAACGCTAACGGCACTGAGCAAGCAACCTTCTTCACAACCATTAAATTCAGCGAGAATTGGAAATTGCAAAGCCCAGCTGAAGCAAGCGGAATGAGAAGTGGACCTAGTCTCATTGGAACGGACAAAAAGCTAGCACTAAGAAAGAAGCCTGCCTAGTCAGCAGGCAATTCCAGCAAACGAAACGCCGCTAACGATAAGCGAATAACGAAGACACGTACGGCTCAGAGAAGGCTTGCTTGGCCATAATCATGCTAGAAAGCAAGGATAACGCGTCAGTGAGTAGCTGCTAGCTCTTCCAGATATGGGTTATCGAGAAGGACGCGAAAGATGGATGAAAGCCGCGAGGCACAGAGAGCGATAAAAGACGATTCACGCAAAGTTGTCAACAACACGAAATAACAACTCTTCAAAAGAAGCTGAAAATCTACTTAATGCAAGCAAACAACACGCATATCGATTCAATACACGCTAATGATAACGCTAAGAAAGTTCTCAACAAGCTTTTATATCCGATCAGATACTACATTTAACATCAGCATAAAGAGAATATTGCATCGATGGATTCTAGCGATAAAGAAGAACGAAAATCATGCAGTAATGTGTTGTTTAATCAAAACATTCGGACTAGATGATAAACTTTAGTACTAGTCAGTATGAGAATGCAAGAGTGCTTTTACGATTTAGGGTGTCGAGATTCAAGAGGATTTCATCACATCTTCAAGTTCGATGTTTTTTTTTGGAAGGAAATGTTTTCAAAAGATTTCGGAAATGACAAGAGAGCAGCAGTAGGCTTTGGACATTCCGATTGCATGAATTGCTTTTCTTGATTTGTTCCCATTGATAAGGATTCAATTACGCAATCGCACGAAAGCACTCACATAAGAAAGTTTCATAGACATTCAGCTTACTATCTCAAGAATAATATTGCAATATTCGTTCGGAAATGATCTTATCAGCGCAACATTTATCAGTAAGCTACGAACACGAATAAAACCAAACGAGTTATGGATGAATCACTTTAATGTTAGGCGCCGGATGTGTTTCGTCTTAGCATATGTCTGTGTTATTTTTCTCGTTAATTTATGAATTTCAATAAGAATTTGGGAATTTCAATCTCGTTGAGAATTTTTCAATGGCACATTCAAAAATTTTCAAGCGTGTCACAAATCAACGAAGCTGTTTTTAAGCATGACAGATATGCTGTCTACACAGCCGGCGATAGCTAGCACACTACGTATATCTCATGCAATACTTATATCCATCATACATCTGCCGTCCACATTCATCACGTACATCCGCATATCCATGCGAGTATATGCCGTATTCTCGCGGTTATGCAAGCATGAAATATCTCCCTTGTAGCACGAAATTGCTGTTTACATCTATGGCACTACATGCATTCGCGGCTTTCACTCGTTGAATCTCGTCACCTTTGACGTGTGTCTATGGTGTTTGCTCATGAGCTGATGCTTGCTTGGATGCATCCTGAATACGCGTACGGGATAGCAGTTAGCTTTTTCGTGGCCAGCAGCTTTTTATATGCATGAATCAATACATCATCATTAACCACTAAGCATTCGCCGTATCCTGATGCTCACTACCTAATCAATTGCATACGGCATCAATAACATAATCAGCAAATAGGCACACGAAAACATGCGTATTATACCATTGGTTTACATGAAACAGTTTAAGTAAACACTCGTACCTAATGATGCATGCATGACAACCCAAACATTTAATGTTCTGCTCAACGTTTTATGCTTCCAACCAAAATAACTTCAATAATCTTCAGTTATTCCCCTAAACGTTAATCTCTCGTAATACAGAACAATAAATAACAAATAACAAACAAATGCAAATACATGTTTGTTTATTAGTTGTTAGTTGTTGTTTTAGCTTATGCATAACAACTGAGCTAGTCTCATCTAAAGGCTTGAAGCCATTGCTTTCTTCGATTTGCCATCATCAATAATCTGACGTTTGACTCTTTGTTTATAAATCTAAATGAATGAGTTGTTTGGGGCTCAATCAATTGCTGACTCACATCAGCCTTATTCAGTGACATTGGTCGCTGGGGCAATGAAATTGTATATTGTGCAAAAAAATAGATTTTTGAGGAAGAATGTCCACATGTCATCGAAAATTTTATTGAGTTGATTTATTGTTGCTGTGCAAGACTGAGTGAGCAATTGATTAAGCTCCAAGGAACTTAGCCATACTGAAGAGAGTTGGAGGGAATGAAAAGACGACTTATTCTTAGCCTTGCGGACAAATATGGCAATTAGATTCGTTCGCCTAGACGAAATGAACTGAAATGACATATTACTCGTCGCTGTCAAATTTTGATACCTTAGAGCAGCCATCGGCAACCCCCGGCCCGCTAGCCAAAATTGGCCCGTCAGATAAATTTGAGATTAGATTTTAAAGGGGTAAAAAACAAAAGAAAAGAGATTTTAAATTGTTTAGCTACTACATCGAAGACTTTCTAAGCAGAATTTCTTCCTGAAATATTCATAGAAGACTTTGTTCTTTTAACAATACATCTTGATTTTTTTTCAATTGGAAATCCCTCGATTTTGCTAACAATAAGATATATGGCCATATTCGATGACATTGTACTTATCAGTTTCAAACAGCATTGAATTCGTTGAACTCAACCGAACTTCTAACAAACTAACGTAAAAAATGGAATTGGATCACATAAGTACGACTTAGTAAAATTTTTGATAACATATGGGACATCATTCACTCGACTTGAGATGTACTTCAATCGAATTCTTTAATTTTAAGCTGATTTGCACTTTTCCATATTTCCAACATTATTTGCACATGCACAACAACTTCAACTAAACGTAAATCCTGCTAAAGCCGAAACATTTTTCGCTCGAAGAACTGCTACGCTCTGATAAAGAAAATCATTTGCAGTTTCTTACTAACTGAAAGAAAAACTCCTCAAATGACTCAAAAAATTCGGCTTACCAGAAAGCTACTAATAGTGAGTAGGGTGAATGCAAACGAAAGAAAGATTAGAGTAATCGTGCCAGATGAATGTTGATCACTCTTATCGTTTCGAGATAATTTCAGCGAGTTCTCGTGAAGGTCGGTTTCACACGATGTACCACTCCTCGATAGTGGGCACCTGAATCAATGAGTTTTTATTCACGTTTACGAAATCATAGTAAAACTATCCGCTACTCCCTATGATATTTATTGAAATAGCTGTTGAATGCCGTATTACGCACTGATCGCAGTTATTGATTGTAGTCACTTAGTAATTGTCAGTGTCAACTTCGTAGTCGTAATAACTATTCGGTACTGTTGAGACTGCTGAGCGAATCAATATTTTTCACTTTTGATGTTATTATTAGTTTGGTACCATTGCTGATTTAATCACCCGTATAAATTATTACTCTGGCCTAGCCAACGGGGTGGCGTAAACTGAGGCTAAAACAATGTACACGGAAACGCGACCACTGTGGCCAGCAACGTTACAAACGTTTGATAGCCTGACCAATCCAGGTAATCCAGGTAATAAATTATCACTGCTATATTTTATCACTAGTGTACATCATTTGTTGTTGATATTATCATTCTTATCATTGTAAATATTGCCAATATGAAGTGTTGGAATGGAATCCGACCTGCATCGCACACTTCCTTTGTAGTGTTCGAATAATCGTTCATCGGCAATATTCGTAAACGTTAAATTGAATAAGTCACAATCAGTTAGCGGTACATTTTCGGGTATGCTTAAAGATGGATCTATTGCCAGCACGTCTGGATGCAACGACGAGTTCAGTTCGGCCCCTGAAAAAGGTATGTTTCAGTGAGTATTTCGGGATAGATTTCCTCAGAAATTGCTCTTGATTGATGGATATGCAAACGACTGGATATCTCAATA